GAAATTCTATTTTTTCGGTAAACATCTAGGAATGGGTCGAAAATCAGTAAAATGATCATAACTTTTGAAAGACACAATAAGGGCACAAATCCACTTAGGCTTTTTCTTAGCATAATAGGCCCTACATATAGACAAAATATGAAGGCGAACCGAGCGGAGAACTTCGGAATGTTACCTCGTTAGAAAACTGATTAAACAATCATCAGACCATATACTCCCTAGTGAAAATACTCATCAAGCGAGTACAACTTGCCAGCATGAGTACTCGGATTACTCATTCGAGTACTCGAGAATTTTTTATGTATAATTATACTTTTCGTGTACTCGGGCGAGTACTCATATGAGTTATTTCTCTAGAATTGACTCGTGGATGATAGCATGAGTACTCAAAGTAGTACTCATTCATGTTTTTGACAGAACGTGTAACAAAACACCAATGCAGTAACATGTACAAAAATTTAAAAAAGCTTAAATCAAATAGAGAAACGATGAAATTCAATGAAAAATCGACAGGAAATATGTTGAGGACTCATTTTTATTATTTTCAATTTTTAACTGATGACTCATTTCTAATGCTTTCATGAATGACTATATCGAATGAACAGAATAATGACTCCTGATTCTTAGCCGTATATTTTCCAAGTCAGATTAAATGAGCATGTAAATATACAAATGATACCTTATTGAATTTTAATTTCTAAATTTTAGATAAAATATAATTTCAGACTGATGAACAACATTTTCGATATATAAAGAAAACCAATGAAGCAAAAAATCAATAACAGACTTTCAAATAGATTACTTCCATTACCATAGTTTTAAGATACGAAGGTCATACTAAACATACTAAATTTACTTTTTATTTTTCTTTAGACATATTACTAAATAAGATGTATTTATGAGTTTAATATATTCATTTTTTTCGTAATAATATAAATATTTCTATTTATGTTTATCGTATATTTTTATTTTGACAATTATTTAACATTTATTTGTGTGCAATAATATAATGTGTTTTAATACAGTTTCTTTTCTTCTGAAGATAATATGTTTATGCTCGTTCTCTAATAAAATTAAAGAAATATATGTGACATTTTCATTTTCTCAAAATTTCATAATATACTTTTGTCCTTCAATACTTCTTGATAAATGAAATAAAACGAATAAAGTAGAATACTGCTGGACGAAATATAGACTTATGAATATTTTACGAAAAACTCATCATTAGGGTAGGAAAACGTACCTTACGCGATTCGACACGTCTTTACTTTCTTTTTCAAACGATGAAAACCGCAACTCTCTGTCTTGTTTCTATCAAAACTTATTCAAAAAATATACCCTAAATAGGGACTTATACTAGGAACACATACGATAGAGAAACAAATCTTATCAAAAGTTTATTATTATAATATTAGTTGAAGTATGAACAAATAGTATTGAAAAATAGAGCGTTCTTTTCTCTATCAGATTCTATAGAAAGAAAATTTCTTAAATGTTTTTTATAAGGAATTAAAGTACTGCTGCCACTACTTTTGGATTTCCCTAAATAATTCTCAATGGTATTCAGAATAAATTGGAAAAACTTGAAGTCTGATTTATATAATTCAAAACAAAATGTCAAGACTTTAAATTGATTAAAATCAGAGAATTACTTTTGTATTATTATTTTTTTTTTCATTTACAGTGGCTAATATTCTGAGTTATGCTGTGTAAAGAGATTAATGACATATTTCAACAAAATCATCTATGTTTTAAATAAATCGAATTAATCTTCTTTTCTTTTAGTGTTCCTTGTTCGAAGACAAAGATTATTATTGATCAAATTGGAATGAATCTATCCAAAATAGTTTAGAAGCAAAAAAACGGAACATTAAAACAGGAATATTTCATTGATGACAAACTTATGAACAGATATATTAATAGTCAGATATATGAAAACGATGCTAAAAATATAATTATTATTATATAAAAAATTAATTTTTTATTGAGAACTATTATACAAATATTGTATTTCATTTATAGAAAAAAAATAAAAGACTAAAAATGTCGATAATTCGCTCATTTGTTTGAAATATCTTGCTCTATAAGAATTATTTTAAAGAAATTGTCAAATGAAACTTCAAAACAGCTCATGTAAACTTTAATAAAATCATTAGTATTGAGCATAAGAATCAGAATGTGAGCGACGCCGAGAATATACTTAAACTGCACATGTAATCTATTGCGGAAAAAAAACAAATGTTCATCTATGAATTTATTGGATTATTCATTGACGCTATTTTTTTTTCGACGAGATCGTTTATTCATTTTATTCAATGACGGCAATGCATAGAAAAAAAAGACAATGCACATATATATACATATGTTCTATTAATGTTAAGCATAGCATTAATTAAAATTAATATGAATCGATTGAATGTTACCTTTCTTAATCTACCCAATGAAATATTATTTATCATTTTAAAGAAACTTGACAATATGGATGTTCTCTATTCATTACTGGATGTTGATAATCAACAACTTGATATGATAGTATAAGATGAAACGTTCACTAAGAGTCTCAATTTTGTATTAACAATGTCAATTAATGATATATTGTTGATTGCTGATCCCATACTTGATCGATTCTGTATAAATATCTTGCCAAGAATTGGTCTTAATATAAAGTCTCTTATTCTTGAATCAGAATCTATGGAACGTATTCTTCTTGCTGCAGATTATCCTAATCTAGCTGAACTTAAACTCTTGAATTTTAATAACAAAATCGCTTCACATTATTTTACAGGTAAAAAACTCCTTTACTGATCTGAACATAGATTTCGATAGACACGTTGTATATTCTACATAATATCGAATTGTTTCTTTTATTTAGTCAAATCACCAGTTCATCGTATTTTTCAAAAACAAATAACAGATCTTATTCTCGTATACAAAAAAGATAATCATATCTTATCAATGGAACAATACACAGAAGGTGTGAACGAATATATTTTTAAGTTCTTCGAAAATCTAAAACATTTGTCTTTTACTGGATCATGTACACTTTTATCACTTCGTAATTTACCTCTGACAATCTGTTCTTCTTCAACTCGTTACAAATTATGTATTATTGTAAATCGTTTTAAAGATTGTCTTACTTTACTTGATGGTTGTCTCAAGCAACTGAATTCGTTTATTGTTAAAATTTCTGATGAGAACTATCAATTTATCAATTGTTTACAATATGGTAAGTTCACATATAATTACGTAGATTAGTTATTTTTTTGAAACTTAAAAATTTTGATGATATTTTTAATTTGTTTTAATTTTATCATAGATTATTTTCATATGAATTACTATTTGTTTAAATTAATTATGCGTTAAATATTAATAAAACCTTGATGATCTATATGATGAACGAATATAAGAAATTTTTGTGTTTGATACTTTGATACGTATAAGATTATTTGAATAAATAAATCGAATCATTGATTTTTATATTAGTGAACAAACTGTTAATTTGTTTATGAGTATTAAATATATTCATACTATAATTTTTCCTATAACTCTTAAATGATTGTTTAAAGTATAAGACTGAAAAAATTTATCTTCAGATATTTTCAACATATACGTATCTAATTATCAGAAAACTGGACAAAACATCTAACTTTTCCATCATAGCTATAAACAATCACTACTTTTTTTTTTGCTTCCATTATTCCATTTTAGTCATGTCATTTTATAATAATAACAACAGAGTGAATACGTTAGAAATAATGGCACACATTGTTTTTTTCATTTATCTCTTCTTTCTCAGGATGTATACATATGAGTTTTTTGCGAAAGGATTCCGCTGAATTCTCTAGAAAACGGTATATTTCATTCAGCAATTGTGGTTCTGCTTATTTTTTAAGGGTCGATGCCAGCATTGGTAACAACCATCACAACTTGTTAAAATGTTTGTTCTATCTAAATGATTTTACGGCTTTTTGTGGAATTGATGTACATTTTCGAAGAAAATAGTGAGTGTAAGTTTAACGTCGAGTTTTGCGACTCCCCACCTCCTTCCTTTGCAGACATCTCCATTACAGATATTAGCAACGAAGGAAGAAAACAAGTAAGATATTCTTTTTCACTGATCAATTCTCTTGGAAAACAACTAAAATGTGCAACAGACTTTGCACTTTATCTATTGTGTGTATTAGTAGAATTAGGCTAAAGTTTGTATGTGGGTTCCACATTTTAGCCACCAAGGGGCTGCACTAACAAGCTTTTTGAATTGTCTAATTATGTGTGGCATTGTTCTCCTATGCTGCTAGTATATTGACTGACCTAGCTCAATTCAAATGTTATATCTACTGAGCTTGAGAACATTTAAAAACAAAATTCAAGATGATGGACAGCATAAAACTGTTTGTAAAATTGTTTAGATAAAACTGAAATTTTAAGAAGTTCTGATGGTGGTCCCAAATGCTGATATTAACGGTCGAAAAATGAGCAAGACCATACTTGCTGAATGAAACATGCCGTTTTATGGTGAATTGAGCGAAGAATTTTTTGGAAAAAATCTCACGTGTCTGCCCCCTTAGGAAAGCGAGAAAAATGAAAAATACAAACTTTGTCATTGTTTCTGACGCACCTATTAAATTACTTCATGCAAAATATTCGAGTTATCTCATCAATATTTAATTATCTCTTTTCTGATAAAAGTTTCGAAAATTCCATTTAATCGTCTTACTCATCATTGCAGCAGAATGTTTATATAAATATAAAGCTGTTAGCATAATCCCTGGCAGATTAAAATGTTAAACAAGATATAGTTGTGGTTGCTAATCACAGGAAGATTGTTTAATTCAATAGACATTTTGAAAGATGTTAGGTAGTGGCGCTATCTCTCACCACTATCTCTTTTTCTTTCCTTTCCTATCTTTTCTCTATCTATTCTTTTGTCCATATCCTCCGTGTGATGAGAAAACACAGATGGATTGTCTCCCTGTTCCATTGTTGTTTTGTTTTAGTCCTAAGAAAGAATAAACCCGGAACAGTTAGTCGACTAATGTAAGACTAACAGAAGATATTTCTTCATTCTCTTTTTGCTTAATCCTTGAAGCACGCAATAAGAAACTACCCTAGTGAGTGTACTGAGTTAAGGGTACCCGAAAAAGTACCCTGCTACTAGTATGTCACAGGATCTGTTGGGTACTAAAGTACCTATCGGGTACTCTGTTACAAAATATTCAGTAAATGGGTACTTGAAGATACTGATCAGATGCTTAATTAGGTACTATTGTACAGTATTTCTAGGTACCCTGTTACCAAAATTTCAGTATGCTCAGGATTGACCCTGACCTTTGACTTTTTTCATTTTTGTTTCTCTCAAAGCAATTTATTACATTTTTTTCGATTTTATTCAATTTAATTTTTTCAATTCAGAAAACTCAGCAGATTGAATGCCGGAAACTGACCGGGCTTGAGTTGGTCAGGTATCCATCAGACCACTTCAGAATAGTCCGCTCTTAATCTACGATCAAGATCGGCATGTTCTCGACTAAGAAATAGTCAAGAAATAATCTAGAAAAATTAGTATGAAAATAGATTAGTTTCTTATGTTTTGCCGAGTTGTTTATACGGAGTCGTGCGTGAAAAAGAAACCGGTGAATGAACAGTTGCTACACAGAACGCGACAAATATAGGGTACCCTGTAAAGTTTTCCTCAGTACAATTACAGATGCGGGTACCCATACAAGTACTTGTTCAGTGAGGGTACTTTTATGGGTACCCCATGCAGTACCTACATTAGTATAATTACTGTGAATTTTCGAAGTACCCAAATTGGGTACCCTGCTAAGGCTTTTTCAGTACATGGGTACCATGAACTCAGTACTTTCTCTAGCGTAGTGAATATATTGTAACAAGTTGCTACTGATGTAGGATATGTCATCGTATATCAACACATGTCATAGTCTCTGATGATCTCTGAAACTTGTCTGTCGTGGGATGTGTGGGAGGCGGTGCAATATCGATCTTTATACACTTCAACATTCCTTTGAGATCGTGTTTTCACAAAATCATTGAGTTGAACTAATATTTCAAAATAAAATACATAGAAACGTAATTTGTCAATCAGTTATTCGTGTAAAATTTGTCTTGTTTTATAATCGATAATAAAATATATTTACGAACATTGATTTCTATTTTCTAGGATGATCTACCTAATTTGAAATGTTTTTCATTGAAATATTCTTGTTTAACAGAACAATATGATAGTAAAATTTTACCTCTTCTTCGTCATACGTCAAATCTTGAAGAATTTACTTTGAATGCTACGATTCAGAAACCAATTAGATTTGTCGATCGTACACAGATTAATAATCAAATACTTGTTCATATGCCACGACTTTATAAATTTATCTTTTATATTAGTACCGAAATTAAACTGCATCATTTAGTTCCTTGTTTATCCAGCGACGATATTCAACAAACTTTTACTAACATACGATATCAGCAAGTGGCTTGTCTTCTAAACCACTGCTATGATACGGCAACATGTCATGTTTTTTCATTACCCTTTGTGTTTGATCATATTCGGTATATTGGTAACACATTTCCATCGATTGTTTTTAGTCATGTTACAAATTTAGGGGTCCACGATGTTGTTCCATTCGAACATGAATTTTTTCTTCGAATAGCTTGTTTTTTCCCTATGCTTGAAAAATTAGATGTTATTAATTTTAAATCACAGTCACAAATATCAGACAATATGAACTCTAACGATAATCAATTGTGCTCAATTGTTGAATATCCTTATCTTATTTTGGTTCGTCTCGGAAGATCTCATATTGATTACTACGAGCAGTTTCTTAATGATACAAAAACACATCTACCTCGTCTAACTGCATTAACCGTCAATTATGATCAATTAACAATTGTAACAGAAAACTTTACAAGAGATGCCACACGGCTCAATTGTGCTAACGTGAAAGAATTAATCATTCAACGAACATTAGTACATTCAAAAGATTTTTATGTTTACTTTCCTGTTGTAACTTCGTTTCTGTTCGAACTAGTTTAATAAAATAAATAATAAAAAGATTTTAATAGTAATTAGGTTTTCACTCGAGTAATAGTAAACAATAACTACTATCGGTTTCAAATTATAGTGCGCATGGTTGTTTTTTGAATAATTCCAGAATGGAACTAGCTGGAGACTTGTGGTTCTCACAATTGGACAGCGAAATGTTGGGGCCAGATTTCAATGCAAAAATTTGATTGGTTCATAATGGACCAATCAGATGAAACCCCAACGGACATTTTGTAAACAATATTTTGAACGCAATTCAGATATTGTTATGGATTCTGTCATGATCATTCGGTAGAAAGAAATGTTCTCTCTCGACCTAGACAAGGCCCAACTTTGTATCTCATTTAGTTCAGGAGTTATTTGGGTTTTGCTGAGATCTCCGATTTCGGTCAATTCGAGTAGAATCGTTCGGAAAGCGGCCTTGAAAGGGATAATTCGCCACGCTGAGTCGAGTGGCAATGTTTATTTTTCGATCCAAAATACATTAACGCTATAATTTTAATATTCCTGAAATTATGACTCCAGCCGCTAGACGGCGCCAGAAAGT